TTAGGTTCATTTAGTGAATATGGAATAACAGGCATGCTGCAAGCATGTAGTTATGTATTCTTTGCATATGTGGGTTTTGATTCAGTATCAACAGTAGCACAGGAAGCAAAGTCACCAGAGAGATCATTGCCAATTGCCATTATTGGGTCAACAATTATTGCCTTGCTACTTTATGTTGGAGTATGTACTGTTATGGTTGGACTTGTTCCATACGACTTATTAAACTCAGATAGTCCTCTTGCTGAAGCAATGTGAGTTATTACTAATCTATTAAAGAATGTGAGTGGTATTCATTATAATTTTTCTAGAAAAGCTACACCATATGGTCTTTGGTTATCAATTGTTATGAATTTAGGTGTCATTGCTAGTCTTACAACTGTAGGATTGACGGTAATGCTCTCACAAACTCGAATATTTTATGCAATGGCTCATGATGGTTTACTACCACCAATCTTTGCTAAAATTCATCCTCAAATGACAACTCCATGGGTTTCTATATTGATTAGCGGTGACTAATCGTTTTATACGATTTATAGGACAAAACTTATATCTATTTTTAGGTGCATTTTGTGCTGTTTTTTCGAGTATTTGTCCAGTAGATATTTTTGGTGGAACAACCTCTATTAGCGCCCTAATTACATATATTTTTGTACATATTATAGTCATAGTGGTAAGTTCAATTGTTTTGTTTCTCTATTCTGTTATCTGAAATGTCTTTTTTTAGATGCGCTATACACATAGAGATATTTCACGAGCATTTGAAGTGCCGTTTGGTTCATGGTTGATTCCGACTGTGGGATCCTTACTTTGTATTCTTCTTATGAAATGTATAACAAAAGCAACAGGTTTTCGATTCCTTGCGTGGACAGCATTAGGTCAAATTATATATTTTTCTTATGGTTTTTGGCATTCTAAACAACGAATATTAAGAAAAAGTAAATCTGTCGTAGGTTCGGTCGAATCTCTACGAACAGTAGAAGATATCAGGGAACAATATACTTACAATGGACTTGAATTGGATTTAGCTAGTGAAAATACTAAAAGTGGAGTATAAAGACTTTTTTTTACTAATACTTGTAGATGTCAATATAAAAAATTTGAATTAAACAAAATATTAAATTCTAACGTTTTTGTTAATTCGATGTATCATCATAAATCGCTCGTAATTGATCATATAAATAATTTAATGTAAATTCCCTCTCACAATAGAAGCTCCCGTGGCCTTCTAAACTGTCCACTGTTCAAAGTTTTTGGAGAGAGCTTTTATTATGGGGTGGGCTACTAATATGATTTTCGTACAGAAATTTTGAAAAGTATATAATGAAGTCATTGTTTCAATCATCTTAACTATCTATTTGTGAGAAGTTCAAATAATCTTCCAACACTGCGAAATTTAATATAAATATACAAAAAAACATTATTCTATGTCATAAATATACAAAAAAAAAACATACTATTTTATGTTATAAATTACATAAAAAGAATGTGATGAAAAAAGTCAGATAGAAATATACATAATTAGACTACTTCTTCCAAAAGAAGTTTAATTTTGTGACTGTAGATGTGGATGTGGTTGTGAGTTTGGGTGTTGGTGAGTCGGTGTGGACGTTTGTCTTCTTTTGACCTACACCCATAGCCACACCGCTAGTCATGCACACTCTAGACACACCCACACCCACTGCCGCGTTTTCTTTATCATCGGAACCATCGGCAAGCAATATGTGAGGCGTTTTCGAGTGTACTTTTTCACGTACAGAGTGCTTGCCAATGTAAACTATCAGTACTGAGAGGAAGATCGACTTTGTAAAAACTCTTGGATGTAATACAAGTCCTAGGTTTCTAATACATCTTTCATATCGACCGTTCTCTGGGGACTTCTATTACGGAAGAGGGTTTAATATTTGGTTTGAGAGTATTTAATCTCCACTGTGTTCTTGAATATTGTTTATTGGAATTTCTAAATCGAACAATATTATTATTTTTTTCATAAATATGTTTGTAAGATAAAATATTCGATTTGGTTTACATAATTAATTCGAAGAACTCTTCTGAAAGTTGAATGTAAACATGATGTCATGTTTTGAAAGTAGAATGGATAGTTAAAACTTAGAACTTCCAATTCTTCATTATTAAATGTTCTTAAATGAAATTAATTTATGAGAGAAATAATCGATCTAAAATTTTCATTACAAGAAATGTTATCTTCGAAAAAAACACAAATGAAAAATTGCGCATTAAACAAAAATATGAGTTTCAGATATTGTGCAAAAATAACTAAAATCTTCTATGCTAATCATATAGTATTGTTTTCTCTTCTATCTTTCTTAATATGTGCATCAGCTAGCTATATATTTTATCTTATTGAATCTTTAATTGTTTTCTATCCATTTCCTTCTTTGAAGTGAGAAAAAATGCGTCATTACTTACATACATCGTAATGTTTGATCGATTCTAAGGGATTATTTAGTTTGTGACACTAAATGAGCGTTCAACATTGATCGATATTATGCAGTTTGTATGAGAAAATTATCTAACGGCACCTTTTGTTTATCATAGTTTCTTCTTGTTGACAGCCTGGAATCTTTATAATAATCTGTACTCAATAAAAACTGTATTAGTTATATATTATTGACTCAAATCAAAGAAGAGAAGATAGCAAATTACAACCAGTGTATGTAATTCATTTCCATAAAAATAGGAATTATATTATAGTTGACTCTTTGTATATGACATAGCCAAGAAAATTAAGTTTCGTTAACGAATTTATAAGAAGATTTCTGAAATCTCTTCATTGAATTACTATAGTTCATTTTCAAACTTATAACTATATATATGATGTTTATGGTGATCATTATGTTTTATTGGTAATGAAATAATGAATAAAGATCACATGAGAACCATCTAATGAGATCCTCACACAAGGTCGATTGAAATCACGAGCATGATAACTTCAACTGACTCCTTGCCATTCTCATCATACTCTGATGAAAATTTACTTCCATAAAGCACAAAAAAAAGCTTTAGCAAATGTATTTTACATTTGTTTTTTGAAGTACACATATCCAAATTATTTTTTATTATTATCAAAATTGATTGCTAAAAAGCTTAACCTGAGACTTATGGATCGTAATTGCTCTGTAAAGAATTCTTTTATAATAATTTATGCTCAGTCTTAAGTTATGTCATATGCATTATTAGATAAATCTATCAAAAATTGAAATTTAATAAATATTGGTTTCTTATTATATTGGTAAATATCAAAATAAACGAAAATTTAAATTCATATTTCATAATATTCTGGTAGCATTTTTTTCTGATTAACAAATTTGATACGAATTCCAGAAAAATTCATTTTCATTGATTGAACACATTCAATATTTTCATCATCATTCGATG